AGGAAATGACACTCAACATCATGAGTCCTAGAGAGATGCAAATCAAAACAATGAGCTACCACTTCACACCCACTAAAATAGCTGTACTTAAAAAAAAAAAAAAGAGAGAATAATAAGTGTTGCCAAGAATGTGGAGAAATAAGAACACTCATGCATTATTAGTGGACTGTAAAATGATACAGTTGCTATAGAAAGCAGTTTGGTAGTTCCTTAAAAAAAATAAACATAGAATTACCATATGACCCAGCAATTCTTCCCCTGGGTATATAGCCAAAAGTATTCAAACAAAAACTTACACACAAATGTTAATAGCAGCACTATTCACAAGAGTCAAATGGTGAAAATATCCAAATGTTCATCAACAGATAAATGGACTAATAAACTATGGCATAGTAAATAATGGAATGTTATTCAGCCATAAAAAGGAAGAAGTCCCTAGATGCTACAATGTGGATTGACCTCAAAAACATTACGCTAAGTGAAAGAAACCAGACACATGATGTCATATACTGTATGATTCCATTTATATGAAATATCTAGAACAGGAAAATCCATAGAGACAAAAAGCAGGTCAGTGGTTGCAAGGGGAGAAGGGGGAATTGGGAAGTGAAGGCTTTATGTGTATGGAGTTTCCCTTTGCGGGGATTAAAGGTTTCAGAGCTAGGCTGAGGTGGTGGTTGCACAACACTGAATGTACTAAATGTCACTGATTTGTACATTTTGAGATGGTTACTTTTATGTTATGTTTAATTTACATCAATTTTTTTTAAATGGTGGGCCACTAACACAGAACCCACTGCAGTCATTGGCAGTTATTTTGTAAAGGTACGTTTGCTGACAGGTATTTTCATAATCTTCATTGTGAATCAGGTTACAAATTAAATTGTTAAGTTAAATTTTAAAGATTATAAATTTTAAATTAAAACAAATTATAAATTTTTACAAAGTAAAAGAGCAAACCAAAGAACAGAAGAAACTGAGAAAGAGAGGGAACAGAGGCAGGGAACATGAGAGAAGAAAGGGAGAAAGAGGAGGAATAAAAAGAGCAAAAAAAAAAAAATAGAGAGAGAGGAGAACAAGAACACGAAAGAGAGCTAGAACAAAAATTTTATACTTGGGTAATATCAGGTGTCAGCGGGGGTTGTGAAGAAGGGAGAGTGCAGGAAGTAGCACACTTCTGCATACCTGGTAGGGATATAAATGGCCACGGACTCTCTGGAGAACGATTTGTCAGTAGCAAATAAAATGAAAATGAACATACTCAGAGCCCTACTTCTGGGCATATATTCTGGAGAAATCATCACGTATGCATCCAAGAAGCATGCACACAGCATTTGTTTGCTATATCAAAATACTAGAAACAGGCCAAGTGTGGTGGCTCATGCCTGTAATCCCAGCACTTTGGGAGGCCAAGGCAGGTGGATCACTTGAGGTCAGGAGTTCAAGAGCAGCCTGACCAACGTGCTGAAACTCCATCTCTACTGAAAAAAACAAAAATTAGCCAGGCGTAGTGGCAGGTGCCTATATTCCCAGCTACTTGGGAGGCTGAGGCAGGAGAATCGCTAAAACCCAGGAGGCAGAGGTTGCGGTGAGCCAAGATTGCACCACTGCACTATTCCAGCCTAGGCAACAGAACAAGATTCTATCTCAAAAAAAAAAAACAAAAACAAAAACAAAAAACTACAAACAACTTAAATAGTTAAGGAGATGGATACACTGTGATATATTTGTGAAAATAAGTAAAAATCTAAGCTGTTGGAACTTTAAAACACTTTGAGCTTTAAGGGAATCTGATTATGGAATCTAAGTCACATGTAAACATGCAACTATAAAGCAGGCAGCTGCGACCTTTGTTTCTCTGATTATAGATTAGCCTTTTTCCTTACCTATGTTGTTTTGTAAAGTGTTATAAATGACTAAAGGGCACCACGGAAGACCCCTTCTCTCCTAACTGTTGCTGTTCATTATAAATTAACTTTCCTCTTTCCTCTCTCACACAGACTTCATGATTATCACATTATCTAAGATGGAATGTTAAATATACTCTTTTAAATAGGAAAAGAAAAGCTGTATGCATAAGAAAACAAATCGTAACTAAATTGCTGTAACTCATAAACCAGCTTTGTATAGAAAATGTTATAATCACACTAAGTTTCTTTCTTTTCTGCCTACATATGCAAGATCTTAACTTTGGAGCATTGACTCCATTCCTTTGGAGTCTGTGTTGTCTGAATAGCCATTCTCAGCTAAATTTTAAATTGAACAAATGCTTTAATACTGGATTCTGATCATTTCCATTATTTCAGGTAGACACACAGATAATATAACAGTATATAGTCATTTAAAAGAAGAATTTTATATATATTATATATGTGAAAGATAAATGAACTCCAAGGTACTTTGTTGTCTGGAAAAGATAGTTGACAGATACAGTATGATGTCAAACAATATACCTTAGTATATCACATTATATTCATGTATTACTCGTATAATAAAATGTATAATAACAAAAATGAGAGATACAGAGAAAGAGAACATAGCCATGATCAAGGCAGGAAAATGTACATGAAGGAGTAAGAAAGACAAATTAGAATGCAGCAGGACAGAAGTATTTAACACAAAATTTTCCCCTCTATATATTCTCTCACAATTTGGAGGGGGAGGGGTGCATTTACAACTCCGGGCATGTATTAACTGGATCCTCTACTTAGGGTTTCACAAAGCTGCAATTAAGGTGTCATTGGTCTGTGTTCTCTTGTGGATGACTGACGGGAAGAATTTACTTCTAAGTTCACTTAGACTGTTGACGGAATTCATTTCCTGGAGTTTGTAGGGCTTCTTGCTGGCTGGCTATTGGCAGGAAGCTGCCTTTCAGCTCCTAGAGGCTGCCCATGGTTCCTCATCATGTGGACTTCCCAAACATGGCCACTGACTTCATCAGGACAGACAGGACAGTATCTAGAGAGTCTGTTCATAAGAGAGTCTTTTATAATGTAATGTAGTCATGGGAGTGATATCCGTCACCTTTGTTATATTTACTTTCAGAAGCAAGTCACAGGTCCCAAGCCCTCTTAGGAGGAGGGGATCTAATACAGGTATGAACATGAAAAGTAACTGGGAATCAGAAACCACTGGGGCCGCTGAAGAATCTGTCACACAGGCATATCTTAGTTGCACTGAGACAGGCAAGCTATTTTAAGATGGTGTGGTGAAAAAGGATAAAAGCTCCTTACTCAAGCTCCAGCTTATCTAACTCTCAGTCAATCGGTAACAGACCCAAGAAACTTAACTGCAAGCACCTATTTAAGAGGGCTAGGGACTTCCCCAGATCCTCGCCTGCACAGTTAGACTTAAACTCCAACCTACAGTTACCCCTTCCTCACTTTAATGCTATAAATAACTCCTGGGGTAGAGATTTTAAATGCTAATACTACATATGACATATGAAAAAGCATATTGGGCCACTGTGCAAGGACAAGAAAACTTCTAAACGTGCCCTGATGTAACCTTTCCCTATAGAAAGACCCTATGAAACTCACCCACACACTCTCGTCAGAAAGCAGTCCGCTCCTTTTCCTTTCTTAGTGCTGACTCCCTTGTGCACAAGCAGAATAAACTTTCCTTTGCTGCTCTGTTTGGTGATCTCTTTCAATCTCTATCGTGGGAGATCATGAGAACCCAGGGCAACAGTAACAGCTTCTGGTTTTTAAATTAGAAATAACTGTAATATAATCCTTGAATTTTTAAAATGTAGGACACTAAACAAGTAAAATCTAAACCGGAGAACATCTGACCTCAAAGCTCATGGCCTTCTCACTTCCCTGGCCATAGTTTAAAGGTACACACACACACACACACACACACACACACACCATGGACTACATCCAGTTTAAACTGGATTTCCAACATTTGAGCAAATCCCTCGAGTGAAGAGTAAGAGTGAAGGCCTAGGATCAAGTGGTTTCTAGCCATTTCAAAGGTGTAACAATATGTGCATTTCTTGATTCTCGGTTCCAGCACCAATTAAAGGGAGTTAATTTTACCATCTATAATCATTGTTTTTGTGGTTACTCTGGGGCTCCAAAGAGACACTGATTGCTCAGTAAATGCTTGTTCCTGGAGTCACTGTTACCAATATGGTTATACAAAAGGAAAGTGAGCTAGAAGAAAGGAGATAAAATTCTTAAATTGGTGGCACGTTTTACTGGTCATCACCAACTCCCACATTTGTTTCACACAAAAACAAAACAAAACTTTCCTAATTGCAAAGGAAGAAAAAATGCACCCAATTATTGCTTTAAAATTGTATGTATCTGGTTATTACTGATTTGAGCTTTTTTTTTTTGTCATTTGTGTTTTTAAGTTTTTTCCTTTTATGATTGTCTATGTCCTTTACTCACTTGGTTTTTGAGATGTTCACTGATTTGAATATAGATATTTTATTGGTTGGTGCCTCATACCTGCAATCCCAAGCTTTAGGAGGTCGAGTCAGGAGGATGCTTGAGCCCAGGAGGCCAAGACTGCAGTGAGCCGTGATCGCACTCCACTGCCCTCCAGCCTGGGTGACAGGATGAGAACCCATCTCTAAAAATAAAACATTTAAAAAGATACTGTATTGTCCTTTCTCTGTCCAATACACCCACATATTCCCGTCCCCACTCTGGTGATTTACCTCTTCATTTTGTTTACGGTGTGTGTGGAGCGGGGGTGAGAGGGCCGGTGTGCGGTTACGCGGTTCAGCACCCAGCGCATCGCTCCTGCCCAGAGTGACGACGAACACTTGGTGTCGGTTACAGCCGCGGCGGTACACTCCGAGAAGCGCATCTTTGGAAACTTTGGTCCGTAGCGGCCGCTAGGATTCTCGGTGGCCCCGCACCCGGGTGGCCGCACCGCCCGCCCCGGCCCAGCCGCAGCCGCAGCCGCCGCGCCCGCCCACCCGGCTGCGCCCCGGGGCGCGCGCCCGTGCCCGGCCCGTGCCCGGCCCCCGCCCGCGCCGCCGCGCCGCTCCGGAGCCGACTGCGGTCACGCTGCCGCTGCGCCCCGCGCGGCGGGGTGGGCGGCAAGCCACTCGCGAGGCGGGCGCTGAGGCTTCCACGCGGGCCAGCCGGGTCCAGCGCGCTCCGCCGGGAAACTTCTGCGGACGCCCGGCGGGAGCTCCGCGCAGGGCAGGGAAGGACAGGTAAGAAGGTGAGCCCGGGGGCGCTGCGGCCGCCGCCTTCCGGAGCTGTCCGCACCCTCGCACCTCGCCGCCGCCTCGGGCAACTTAGCGGGCGCGGCTTCCGCGGGGCCGCCGACCCCCACGAGCGCTGGCGTCTGGCTGCCCGGCGTTCCTGCGCCGCCCGCGCGGCTCCCGCCAACTCCGCGCCCCCCGGAGTCCGGGGTCCCGGCGGCGCCGCTCGCGGCTCGGAGGGCTGGGGTTCCTCTGCTGCGGTTCCCGCCCGCGCCGACCCCGGGAGAACGCGCGTCGTCTGCCCTGGAGACTTCCGGGCGAATCTTCCTCCCAGATCTTCTCCCGCAGGTCCCACACTGGCCCCAGGCACCGTGGAGCCCACATAAACAGGCCAGGTTTGCAAGGGAGAAAAGCGGTTCCTAGGGGCCCCGACAGTCTTGGGTTTCACCTTGGGGAGGTCCTGTCACCGCCGGAAGTTTCCTTTCCCCGCTTGGGTAAGCAATGGGCCTGACTGGGGTCAGTGTTCTCACGCTATTCTCACAGAGTTGGGGGTACGAAGGTCGCGCTGACCTGTTTTCTCTATTTGGGGGTCGCCCTGCCAAAAAAGAAATTTGCCTGCCACGAAATTGTCTTATCACTAAGGTTGGTTACAGTGGTATCTTATTTTAGGCAAAGATGAAAGACAAAAATCAAAATACAGTAAGAAGGGCAGTGCCAGAAATTTAGCCAGAAGACATTTGCAGAAAGTGAAAAACTCTGTTTGTAAATAATAAATGGAAAAGTAGAATTCGAATCCCACTTTTGAAGGCAATTTGATTTACTAAACTTCCGTGCTTCTTGACTTTTCACTCTAATTCCAGTACTTAGATGTTTTGAATTTGCAAGCCTACAAACTGCAATTGAGTTTTATAGCAGCCTTAAAAAATTACTGTTGCCTGATCGTACTAAGTTCAGTGGCTGGTTTTTTCCCTTGTTTTTAATTCTATGGACTGTTGCATGAAAATATCCCCTTGTCAGCGTACAATAACTTGGCATTGTTCTTTGTGACAATAGACAACCAACAAGAACTTCATGGGACAGAAAATATAAACAAAAAATTGGATCTCAGTTTCCAAATGTGCAAAATGAAGAGCTCTGGCCGATCCCAGATTCCAGATATCTCTGAGGTGCTTGTTCTTTTCTGTCCTGAAAATCAGTATATGCGTGTGTGTGTGTGTGTGTGTGTGTGTGTGTGTATGTGTGTATGTGTGTCTGTGTGAGTGTCTTCAGGAGTTTGGGATACAAATATTAATTGAAACCTAAGATACTCTGTCCTTAAAATTTTATACATTTAAATGGGAAACATTTGGTAGTTGAGTTTCTTTAATCGTATCAGTCTCTCAAAATAGCTGAATCATTGTGCATCCTCTGCTTGTAAATGATTACATTCTAAGTTATTAAATAAAAATGTATCGTGGGAAACCTAAATCCCATACTTTTCACCACAAGACTGACTAATAGGGTTGACAGACTAGAGTACTGATGCCTGCTTATTTTGAAACAGTCTCCAGGAAAAATTAAGAATGTTATGAAGCATTTGCTACGGTATGTGAGCGTAACACATAAGCAGCATGACAGGCAAGAAATTTCAAAACTGCTTTGGAAATACCCATGATAGATCTCAAAGTCTGTAAACTGCAGTTGAGATCACTTTTTGTAATTATGGTCATTGGTCAGCTGGGATTAGGAGCTCTCTCAAGAGAATGAATTTCCCTCCAATTAATAGAAGAGTATCTTGAATCACTGATGAGATTGTTTTAAAGGAAGAGGGAACATGCTTCTCTCTTTTTTCTAAGTAGTTATAAGAAAAAGTCTTACAGGGAAAATTACATTAGGTGTTTTCTAAATTAAATAAATAAATAACCAAAAGTTCCTGACTTAAATTACGTATAAAAATGCTGGGTCCTCCTCCAACCCAAAGAATCCAGGAATTAATTCACGTAGACTTACAGTGAGACCTTCCTATTTTCTGTTCCTCAACAGAATTAACAACCTCCTGTGACTCCTGCACACTGAAATTGGCTAGGATGGGATCATCAAGGAAGGGATGTGGTAGTATTGGAAGGACAAGCAAATGGCTAAGCTTGTAGAAAAATCTCCATTCTTCTGAGCTTCATTTTCCACTCTGAGCAATACCGATAATAATATGTAGGTTTCAGAGTTGCTTTGACTCCTAAATGTGTCTGTGTTTGTAGGAACTAGTACTTGCACAGAGAAAGGGCACAGGTAATCTTGGTTCTTCATGTCTTCCTTGGAAGGTGTTTGTTTTCTAGCTGAACAAATTGCGGCTGAATTGTAGATAACAGCTTTTGCTTTTAATTTCAAAAATTCTCTGTGGCAAAATCTTAATAATTGTTGAATCTGGGCAACAGGTATATTGGAATTTATTGTATACTATTTTCTCTATTTTTGTCTATGTTCAAAATTATTCATCAGAAAAAAAAATTTAAGTGTGAATCTGAAAAATAAACCTACACTTTGAGTTACTTTCAGTCCAAATTTCATTTTACGTTGTACTTTTTTAAATTGGTGAATATTTACATATGGAGAAATATAAATTATGTACTATGTAGGGGGTGGATGGGCAGAGACTGGTCCTAGAGAACAATCCATGGCAGCCTTCTATTTTTTTGTGTGAAATTTTTCTTTATTGTAAAACAATCTAATGAAAATATGACAGTGTTTATATTTGTTAATTCTGGTTGTTGGGTTCATGGTTTTTTTGAAATTTTTATATTTGAATTTTTTTACATTGATTTTAAGTCACTGTATTGTTTCCCAGAATCATGATAAAGAATACAAATCATGCAGATATTTTTAAAAAGGTAAAAATAGTTTCTACCCCACCATCAAGAAATATTCATCTTTAACATGAAGTGAAAATCATTGCATACGTCTTTCTATGCATTTATACAAATAGGATATGTTGGCCGGGCTCAATGGCTCACGCCTGTAATCCCAGAACTTTGGGACGCTGAGGTGGGCAGATCACCGGAGCTCAGGAGTTCAAGACCAGCCTGGCCAATATGGTGAAACCCCATCCCAAAAATTAGCCAGACATGGTTGCATGCACCTGTTGTTCCAGCTACTCCAGAGGCTAAGGCAGGAGAATTGCTCAAACCTGGGAGGTGGAGGTTGCAGTGAGCCGAGATCGCACCACTCAACTCCAGCCAGGGCAACAGAGCTCTGTCTCAAACAAACAAACAAACAAACAAAAGATATGTCAATAGATTAAAAAGAAATGCTTTTATAAAAAATAGAATTGTTAAATAAGCAGGAGGCCCTTAGCCTGAAGCTTTCTCCTTACTTTGAAGTCCTATGTGAAAAACTAACTTTGTACATACACAAACAGAAATTTAACTCAGGAATATATTTTTTGTAATAGCCAGATTTCAGCCAATCGCAGATGGCCAACTCATCACACCATGCCCAAATAAAGCAGATGCAGAGCTGTAGCCAGTTGAGTGATTTTGCTTTTTTACTTCTATGCTTAGTTCATAAAAACTATCCAGCAGCATCTCATGCTGCTGGATAGAGAGCTCTGTGACCCTCTTCTGGTTCAGAGTTCTGCCTGACTCGTGAATTGTTCATTGCTCAGATAAATTGTTAAATTTAATTTATCTAAAGTTTTTATTTTAACAGGATTTTTGTGTTTTTAATAGAGATGGGGTTTCACTATGTTGTCCAGGCTGGTCTCAAACTCATGACCTAAGGTGATCCTCCAGCCTTGGCCTCCCAAAGTGCTGGGATTACAGGCATGAGCCACTGCACCTGGCCTATTTTATACTTCTTTAATTTTGGAGACAGGGTCACACTCTGTTACCCACGCTGGAGTGTAGTGGCATGATCACAGCTCACTGCAACTTCAACCTCCCAGGCTCAAGGAGTCCTCCTACCTCAGCCTCCCATGTAGCTGGAACTATAGGCACTCACCACCACATCCAGCTAACTTTTTTTTGGTAGAGTTAGGTTCTCACTATGTTACCCAGGCTGATCTGAAACTCCTAGGCTCAAGGCCTCCTCCCACCTCAGTCTCTCAAAGTGCTGGGATTACAGGCATAAACCACTACACCCAGCCCCAATTAAAAAAATACGTTTATATTGTGAGAATCTATAACATTTGCAATGTGTTTTGTAAACTTCATTTCAGATATAATTTAGTCTTAGTAACTAACTAAATGGAATCATGATGAATTACTGGCCCTTTTACCATGGCATCTCAAGTATCAACTTTTAAATTTTGATTCATTCTTTGATTGGCTAGATTTTGTCAATATGTTTGTTTATTTCCAAGAAGGGCACATTTCCTGTGTCTTTTATGTTTGAAATGTCCATGTTTCTTTTGAGTCATCCCTGACTCACAATGCTTTGACCAAACCATTTTTCAACTTTACAGTGGCACAGAGGCAATACAACATTCAGTATGCACAACTTTTGGTATGGCACCCAATTAAACACATCATCATCATAAATTGAATATACTGTAAGTCAAACTTGTTTTCAGCTTACGATATTTTGAACTTACCATGAGTTGATTGTACCTTGGGGAGCATCTGTACTTGAATGACCATTTGGCCGGCTATAGTATTTTTGAGCCAGTTTCCTTACCTCCAGATTATGTAGCCCTTGCTCCATTTACTGCTGGCATCTAATTTGTCTTTAGAGAAGTCTAAGGTTGGTTTCAGACTTTCTGGCCAGGTGCAGTGGCTCACGCCTGTAATTCCAGCACTTTGGCAGGCCAAGGCTGGTGGATCACTTGAGGTCAGGAGTTTGAGACCAACCTGGCCAACACAGTAAAACCCTGTCTCTTCTAAAAATACAAAAAATTAGCTGGGCCTGGTAGCACGTGCCTGTAATCCCAGCTACTTGGGAGGCTGAGGCAGGAGAATCTCTTAAACCCAAGAGGTGGAGGTTGTGATGAGCGGAGATTGTGCCATTGGACTCCAGCCTGGTCAAGAAGAATGAAACTCCATCTTAAAAAAAAAAGCAAATTTTCCCCATGCAATTTACTTTCTTTTTCTGCCTGGAGTCCTAAAATATCCTTTCTATTCCTGAAATATAGTAATTCAGGCTATATCATTGTTAAGTTCTGTATCAATTTTTCATGGAACCTGGTACATTATTTCTGTTTCTATATTTCCTATTGACATAATCTGTTGTTTTTAATGTCAGGATTTTTTTTTTCATTATGAATGCTTTTTCTTTCCCATTTTGTAATTCTCCACTTCAAAGACACCAATTATTCTTACATTGTCTCATCTTTGTTCTCCATAATGATTATATTCTCTTGTTTTAATTTCTCCTCTGTTTTCTTCATTCACTGTACTTGTCTAAATGATTAAACTGTAACTGATTTATAAATTAAAGTGTAGCATGGTATAAACAGACTCAGGTTAGGAATGAGGATATTTGAATTCTAACGTGGCCAAGTCTTTCTTAAAGAAGTTTTCATGCTTGAAAAATAGGTAAATAACTATCCCTCCCTCCTGCCCCCAGTATTTTTGGAGCTGTGAAATAACATACATGGAGTAATTCATGCTGGTTCTGATACAGGGTTGCTACTCAAGAGATGCTGGTTGTTATTACTTATTCCTCTATTCAAGATGGAGGAGGTGTGGTGTTAGAATTCAAGTTCCAAACACGTGTTACATTATAGTTGTTCTGGAAGTCACAATGCATAAGGATAGATAGTGCCTTTCCCTCTGTAATAAAAGGAAATTTAACCTCCATAGAAAAAGAGATAAACAGAAATACTTTAAAACATTCTGTTGGGAATTTATTTCATGGAATCTCAACTTATTTTCTGTTGTTTGTGTTCATTTTCAAGTTTATATTAAATCTTGGTAATGCATAGAAACTGACCAACTAGTGGACCATCCTTGATCAATACTTGATCAGATATGAAAAGAAATTTAAGATAATGATTCTAATCTCATTAAGACTTCAGACTGTTCTAAAATGTAGCATTTATTTAAAATTTAGTATGCAATAACTGACTTTAAATGAGTTTTAATGGCTGGGCACATTGGCTTATGCCTGTGTAATCCCAGCACTTTGGGAGGCCAAGGTGGGAGGATTACTTGAGTCCAGGAGTTCAAGATCAGGCTGAGCAACACAGGGAGACTCC